AAGAGATAAGGGATATATAGGCAGACTTTCAGTTATGTGCACTGATGTGAATCTCAGCTGAGCTTATGTGGGGTCCTAGGCACCTAAATGTTTATACTAATCGCTTCTGAAGATGCCTTAAGCCTACACCCCTCCTTGGTCTTTTCAAGCCCCCAAGATTACACCAAATGTATTTAGTCACCTCAGAGGTGTTGCAGCCATGGTTGAGCTGCACTGTTTTTTGTGACTTAGGGTGCAGGCAGTTATAACATGAATGCCAGTATAAGCTGCTGTGATATAACTGTTACATCTGCATGCTCCTATAGCAATACAGATGCAGTAAAACCCATTTTGGCTTCATCCCTGTTTCATTCAGTCTTAAATTTACAGTGATTTAACTAACTTCTTCCACATAGAAGAATGCAGAATATAACCTCATAATAGCTGATGCAAACCACTCAGTGGAAACTCCCCCTCCCTTTTTAAAGTATTTTGAATTATACTTGTGCGCAGCTGTAGATGCCTGGATTGCACCAAAGCCTGTTTAGGTGCTTAGTCCTGTCTGTTTGAATCACTTTTTTTAGCCAAGCCCCTAATTGTTAGGTGTTGCAATGGATAGGTGTATGTGTTGGCCCTGGAGTTGTAATCTACCTATACTGTACAAAGAGGACTATACCTACCCTTCTCCTGTCTTTTTCTTCTAAAAAGGAGCCCCTTGGTAAAGGGACTTTCACAGTAGATATCCATACAGTGTCTTCTACCCTGGGTCATCTGGGTGCTGTTGCATAATAAGTGATAATAAATGCAAGTATGAGAAGGATAAGGAAATTTGAATGAGAAGGAGATCTTCTGTCTTTGCCTGACCTAAACTCTAATACTCTAAGGCATTTATACACATACATTTTTCTTCAGCAACACACTAGAGATCCAGCGCTTCTGAGCAGGCTCGAGTAAATGAGTCTGCGCTACATGCAAGCTGACGCAGACTGCGCTGCGTTGTGTTCCATTGTATAAGCGGTGAAATGCATGTCAGCGCACAGAAAATGGCAGTGGTGTGCTTTTGAACTAAAGCACCTCTGAGGTGTTTTAGTTCAAAAACACACTGCTGCCACCAGTACTGACATGCATTTCGCACTTATACAACTGCAAGTGTTGCAGTGCTGAGCACTTTTCAAAGTGCCCAGCGCTGCGGTGCTTCAGCATGTAAAAATGTCCTTAATTCACACAAAAAAAGATAAACAGTTTCCAATGCGTCCCCTTACAAAAATCTATATACACCCTACAATAATCTTGAGTTTTGGAAGAGCAAACAGCCAACTTCAGAGCTATAGTCGGACTTTCAGTGTTCTCTGTCCATGTCAGTCATTTGTTTTGGCCTGGAAAATGAGAGAAAGTACCAAATCTATTATGCTATCAATCACCAGTGCCCTGAAGAACTTATATTCAGTGTCTGCCATATTCCAGGATGACCATCCCTATTACAGGATTATTAGCTCCAACATAATGGATGTTATCAAATTCATATGCCTTTTACCAAACACTCTGGCTGGTATGTACATTAGAAAGACCATAATCCATGCTTCTTAAAACATACTACTTCAAGGATATTCTGGTATGACACAGAACTGTTCCACTTAGGAGTGTCTATCTTAAAGTGTCTTTATGTAACATTTTGGAAAAAAAGCATGTATGGAACAGACATGATACTAAATGGACTACATAGAGGATAGAAGATAAGAGCAATACATGTTGATAATAATTCTAGCCAGAGATACACTCTTTACTAGTGTTTAGGAAAACCTAAAAATAGACAACTTGCTACCACAGTGTGAGGCAAATGAAAGCAAGCCTTCCTCAAAACTTTGTGATGACAACTTGAAATAAGCATTGTAAAGTTCTTGAGATAGTTCTTACCAGGTTTCACAGGCCTTTCCAGGAACCAGTTATGCAGAGCAACAAATAGAAAAACAAATAAATTTACATTTAATGTTGACTTTTCTTATGACCCTCGTAATTCACAGGCTTTCTATTCAGCTGCAGTGTTGCCTAAATTCACTGCCTTTTTGCTGCTTCAGATTGATGTTAGATCATCAACTCATGATTTTTCTTTTGTCTGCATATAGATATGCATACACATACACCACGTACATATATATA